TTTGTTGTTTTTTTTTTTTTTGAAAACAGGTGAATGCAGTATGTTATGGAGCTAAAATTATGTTACCTGGTGTCCTAAGATATGAAGATGGAATTGAAGTAAATGAAGAAATCGTGATCTTAACCACAAAAGGAGAAGCAGTTGCTCTCGGTGTGTTCTTGATTTTAAAGACAGAATTTAGGCATACAAAATTCAATGTTATATGATATGAAGTATTAAAAAATAATGGTGGGATGTGAAATATTAAAGGGATTTTGTTCTCTTTTAGCCATTGCCCAGATGACAACGGCAGTTATGGCTACTTGTGACCATGGAATAGTGGCAAAGATCAAAAGGGTTGTCATGGAAAGAGACACATACCCGAGAAAGTGGGGGCTGGGCCCAGTAGCATCTCAGAAAAAGAAAATGATTCTAGCAGGAACTCTAGATAAATATGGAAAACCCAATGAGAAGACACCAGCCAACTGGAAAAAGGGTTACGAAGACTTCAAGTAAGTTTTCATAAATAGTATTTTTATGTTCTTGTTTTTCATGAATTATGTGGAAAATGCAGTGTCATGTATTTGTGCTTATTAGAGCTATTAGTGAAAATTGCATCTTTTTTTTTATTCTAGAATGCACAAAATAAATGTAATAAAAAATCTAACAAAATTGGATGTGGGTAAAGCATTATTTGGGGTACATAAATTTTTCTATTAAAAATTACTATGGAAAATGGGAATAACTCTTGCCCTTTTCGTAAATTTTGGTTAAAATTTTGGTGCATTTTTTTCTACATTGAATATAGAGGAAGTGAAATTGTGTATGATGACATTTATAGATGTGTGAAACCTTTTATACCCAGCAAAAAATTATAATTACAGATGTTTAGACTCACTTCAGAGTGTATGAGGCTTGTCCTGGTCTCATAATAATAAAATTTTAGGGTAAAGGTTATGAAAAAAATCTGGTCAAATTTTGTCTCTTAATTTATCTTTACAGATTATTTTTCATTATATGTAGTATAATAGTATTATGTTCGAAATGAAATCATTTTGATTAATGCATACTAAATCCTTATATTTCCAGATTACAAAGAAGTATGAAAATTAAATTCAAAATCCATTTCTAAGTTATATTATTTATGTGAAATAATGATCTGTTAAACTGAAGCAAAAAAGTTCAAATCAGACATTGGGTAAATTTACATAGTTATGTCCCTTTGCTATAGTAATTCCTATAGGTAATTGAATCGTGCTAAGATTATATTTTCTGCTCATTAGATTTTAGTAGATTTTTTCCTGCATATATTAATGTACATATTAGATTATATTTATCACAAAATAATTTCTGTTGCAATTAAGTTTTACATTGGCTCACATTTTTCACTCAATTGACTGGAGTATTATTCATGTATTCCATTCCCTTTTTTGATATTTTTTTTTCCTTCTCTGTAGTGTGAAGAAAGAACCCAAGGAGGAACCTTCAACAGAAACTGTGGTCAACTCACACAAAGTAAGGAACTGTAAAACTTGTTTGTATCAAACACTAGGCAAGATGACTGTAAATTTGTGCATTATCTTTTTCTTTTAAAAGTTCTTGATACACTTGCTTAGAACTTTATTTAAAATTCAGTAGTAAATGCCAAAGCTAGTCAAATTAGCAAAAATGCAGTATCTAATGCTAACCTGATCAAGTTCTAATGGATAAACGAAAATGTGACAATTTGCAAATTTTTTGCTTTTTATGAATTATGCTTCTCTTAAGGTGTACCAAGAAGCTGTTGTAGAAGCTTGAATTCAGTAATTAGTATAACCCCAAGAAATTGGTGAGATGTAAAAGTACTCCAGATACCGGACCAAATATCCAGGAAAAAAAGTTATTAATTTCTGATGGACTCTCTTCTTGTAGAGAAAGAAGGAAGCCAGTACTTCAGAGGAAAGTGAGCCCCCTTCACCTCAACCTGCTCCTGTGGAAGAGGTGGAAAAGGAGAAAAAGAAGAAGAAAAAGAAGAAGAAGGACAAAAATCAGGAAGCTGATGAAGCAGGGGATGCTCCAGAGGTAAAGGTCATAGGTCATAAGGTCAAATGTTGAGGAAATGTGATGTATTTAAAACAAGTATTTTCTGTATGATACTGATTTGGGATACAGTTGAACTTCGATGACTCGTTCACTGATATCTTGAATATCATGGATATATCGAAATGATTTGGAAGTCCCAATTCCTTATTTCTTGAGTATTTTACCCTGGATGTCTCAACCCTCGGATATCTCGGTCCCATCGGGTTCATGATAATAAGGTTTGACTGTATTTTAGTCTGACAGTTTTCTTTTTTCAGCATTGAGTAAATTATGTCCATAAATGCATTTATTTTCCAACTCTGTAAACTCGGGACATTGGGAACTAAATTTAGACTTAATACATATGATCTTTGTGTTTGAAAGAAACTTTCGTAACTATCTACTACAACCATCTTTGTCAAATTGGTTTCTAGAGAATATTGTTAGAAAAAAAAATGAAACCATTTCACGTATTTTTTTTTAAATCAAAAACCACAATAAACCCATTATCAGGTTTAAATTCCCTGTGTGACCAGTCATGTGGTAAAATTAAAACTAATTTTCACTTTGATTTCTTTAGGAATCACCAGAAAAGAAGAAGAAAAAGAAAAAGCACAAGAAATTAAAAACGGAGGCAGAAAGTGACTGATTAACAGTGTGTGTGTGTGAGAGGTGTGAAATCAACAGTGTGTGAGAGATGGTGTGAGAGAGATTCATGTGGCATTTCTCAGTTTTATCAACAAACTACAGACAACTATGAAAATGCTGTTAAACCTGATACATACATTTATATACCTGTAGATGGGACAGTGACCTGATTGACCAGGTTATGGATACTTGATGTGTTCATATTTTGTATATTTCTCTTTTATATATGTTAAGAATGAAATGTGCTGTTAGTCTGTTAATAAAATTGTTTTCATTCATCGTAATTGTTCATATCTGTCATTTATACATGCTCACCACATGTATTGCTGCTGTTAAGGGCAGGTCTAGGTACTGCTGAACTTACGTCTTGTCTGCCATAAGCACTGAAAATGTGGAAGAATAATCTTTACATGGTATTACTACTAAAAGGAACTGATGAAGTTTTCTCTCAACATTACTATACCCCATGCAACAAGTTGCTGGGGTATAATGTTCTTGACCCATCCATCAATCAGTCCATCAGTCGTTTTTTTTTTTTTTGTCAGCGCAACTCCTCTTAAACACAGAATTTCGTCAAACTTTGCAGATATATATTTAGGACACAGTGTGTAAATGTGCATATTGCCAGGAAATTCCGATTCCATTATTTTTCTCGGAATTTCGGCACTGTTCAACTTATATTTTTGCCCATATCTTGAAGATAGAGATAAACAGTTTGTCAGCGCAACTCCTCTTAAACCGCTGCACAGAATTTCGTCAAATTTTAGATATTTAGGACACAGTGTATGGTGTACGAGGACATGTTCAAGATTATTGCCTCCTATTTTAGACATCTGGGGGGAAAAAAACCTCTCCAGTTTTTTTTTATTTGTAGAGCTGGAGAATTTTTGTAATCGGACACCACATAGAGAGACACAACTTGAAACTGAAGTAGTTTTCATCCAATATACTACAGTATAACATTGTGGTTGGACAAATATGTACTTCTGAAATATTGCCCATACTGCATATATAAAATCTCGTCAATTTTTCCACTGATTGAGGTGTAATGTATTATGGAATTTATTCTTTACAGATAATTTCCATTGAAGAGCTAGCTTTTTGAAACTGATCATTTCAAAAGTTTGCAAGTCATCGCATTCACAGCAAATTTATTTAGTAAAAGGTCCTTGCTTCAAAGTCAAACTCGGCATGAAAAACGCGTCCGAGGGTGTTAAATATTGTCGTGCGTCATTCATAAACTTTTCACATTTTCCAATTCATCTCTAGAACCACTGATCCAATTTTAAGTATGCTAGTAATTGGATGATATTGAAATTCAGGGCCCTGGCCCCCTTATAAAAAGGAGAAATTTTAAGACCCCCCCCCCCTTAAAAAAATAAGATGAATATAAAATGTTGTTTCAAATTCAATTATCAAATACTACACAATACAATTCTATTTGTTTATATACCAATTAAGGGCCCTCATGTGGCAAAAAGAAAGTACATTGTAAACACCTGTATATTTTCATATACTGTAAATGTAATACAATATACATACAAACAAGAGAGAAAGAGTTGCATGATTGATAGAAAAAGACATAAAAAGGAGGAATAAACCATACTTTTTGTACATATACATAAATTCTGAGCAAAAATATTTGTTTTATACACATGTAGTATCCATTTTTTGTAAATAACTTTTTTTATTCATAAAGAAAAATTTCAAGTACCGTACCAATGACAAAATACACATTTTGTGTGTCATTTTCATTGTCGGATAGCAAAATCTCGTTTGCACGGGTCTCTTTTACCCCCCCCCCCCTCCTTTTTTTTTTTTAACTATCTAAGTTTTTTTTTTAAATATCAGACATCAATCTTTTTATCTCCTCTGTTATTAAAACCTTAAGAACCATTGATCCAGAAATGGTAAAAATTGTGTGAAATACACTCGTATGGTTTATCGTTATCCTATGTTACTAGTACACTAAAACACATTACATGTACAATGTATAAGCTGTGAGAAAAAATAGGTAGCAACTGTTCCTTCGCCATGCGCTCGGCACTTTGAAGTGAAATTTGCGGGTCCTTCGGATGAGACCTTAAAAACCGAGGCCCCGTGTCACGGCAGGCGTTGGCACGATAAAGATCCCTCACTGCTCAATGGCCCTGAGTGCCGAGTAAAGGTCAAAATTTGAAGCCCTGACGTCTCTATATGAGTGAAAAATTCTCGAATGGGACGTAAAACAATATACAATCAATCAATCACTGCCCCCCCCCCCCCCCAAAGTTTTTACAGATACTCTCCTCAATGAATTAATTATAACAAAATTCTGCCACATATAACATTTTATTAAATAATTTATCAAACAGAATCCAACATTTTTATAATACTCTACAAGTTGAACACATTTCATGAGAAACGTATATTGTTTGTAAATACAAGCAGCCCCGAACGTTCAGTTTCCTTCCACGGATATATACCCAAAACACTTCCATAATTAGCCATATACAATTACAAACGAACATTAAATATACAGTACATGTAATCTGCTAAAAATGTCAGATGTTGTCGCATATCCTGAACGCTACAAGATGTTAAGACTCTAGTTTCCTCGTCCGTCGTTGTGCCTGTGTAACAACCACTGTATATAATATCAACCGGTGGCAAGAAAACTGACTTCAAGTGTTGAAAAGCAGACCATGTCGCTCAAGACGAGGATCGGAGACCGAGTACAAGTTCATAAAACTGGACAACATGAATTGGCACAAATACATAGAATGTATAGGCACTAATGGATAGGAGACATACTAAAAATATGTCTAATTTAATGTTAAGGTTTAAAATATCAATTAAACATTATTTAATTAAGTAAGATAAAATAAAACGAACAGGACAAATTTATAATTTCCATTAGAAAATGGGGGAAAGGGGGGGGGGGTACTTAAGAATCACAGGTTATGTTTTGTGAAGCCAGAATTTAATTTTACGCCTATCCCTTAAATTTGTCACTAAATCACCGGTACATGACACACTTGATTCTGTATTTGTAAGCCCCATATTAATACAAGGTAAAAACATATTACATCAATAAAAAGATTATCAAAAGAAAAACAATAAAGTAATCTGCCAGGTATAAAAGTCGTTTACCTATTGGCGAACGGGTTTTGACAGGTATAGAAACTAATTGCGCATTTAAAAAAAAAAGGATCGTGCAACACACCTGTCTGAAAAAATACCCAATAATAAATTATGAGAAAGAAGTAAAATTGTTCTCAAATTAAAAGCTATGAAATATCATTTACTCACTGAGAGTGAGAGAGAATATTTATCCGATCAACACTCGTCATCTAAATATTATAGATAGGCGGATCAATCCGCCCCACACAGAAGTAAGTAAAAAGGATACTGAACAGAGCTTGTTCCAGAGGCTCCAGCATGTAAATACTGGTGTTGAGTGTATACTGGAGATACCAGAAATACAAAAAGCCCCTCACTGAATCCACCACACCCATTATCACAGTGCACACTTAAACTTCCCCGAATCTCCGTGATCTTTTAATAGCGTAGGTTGTCTCGCCACCGGAACACGCTATGCCTCGTATGATCGGCGTGTAAGATAAATATATCCTCCCGAGACGCGGAATAAACATTTTATTTATCCGTTGCCAAGCAAGTTGATTAACATATATGTTTGTGTGTACCGTTATTTGATTATTTATGCGATTGTGTTTGCTATATAATGTGTTTGCGATAACATTTTGGAATCATCATACCTGAAATAAAATCGATTATAAGGTGAAAGAGAAATTGAAATAATTCAAGGTAGACTTTTAAAAAGAAATTTTGATACATATACGTGATTTTTATTTGATCAGTGGACACGAGTCAAAAAGTTCTTAATTAGAATTTAAAATATATGCATTTAACTCTTATTCAATGTACAGTATGATTGAGGAATTAACGAGCTAAATTATGAATGGAATGAATAAATAATCAAAAACTTTTTTTTAAATGAATGGATTAAAAAAAGAAAGAAGAAAGTTACATACAAAAGGGAGTGTAGCATTGAAAGAAAAGAAAAGGAGAAACCAAAACATGGCATCTTTAATTATATACAGATACGTCAAATGATTGAAGAGTGATGAATACAGAAATCTAACATTTATTTACGATTTTGAATTCCATGCGTGAAGTCATGCACTGTGCGTTTTTATCTTTCTCTGAATTACGCGAACAGCTTAAGAAGTGTGGGTTTCATGCCCAATGGACACATACATGTATGCGTGAGAGGTACAGGGTAGCAGAGGTACAGGGTAGCAGAACCCGCTAAACCCTTTTAGAGAAGCAATAGATGCAGTACTTGTTTCATTATATGTTGGGATGTGGTATCGTTTTTCAAAACTTAAAGGAGGGCGAGGGCAAAATATTGCATTAAAAATGAAAATAAAACTTGGGAGGAGGGTCTTTTTTTCAACAATAACAAAAAAGAAAAAAAAAAGTGGTGCACCGGTCCTTGTCCAAACTAAATTAACAACAAAAAACTACAGGCTAAAAAAACAAGTGCCCCCTCCAACTACGTGACAAATAATATGATATTCGTGTAGACTTAATATGTCATTATATATGCTGTATTTAAATTGTCACTGATTTGAGATGCTTAATTTGAACTTGAAATGCATTTTGCTCATACCAGAAACATTCATGCATGTAGAGGAAAAATATTTTATACAATAAGGATTGCTGGTACTGTAAGTTAACGATTTTTTTTTCCTTTTCTAACTTTTTGGTACATTATCTTTAATCAAATGCTGGAATTGGCTAGTTCGACCTTACAACAACAAAAAGTGGGGAGAAGGAACTAGCATCTAAATGAAAATTTACATATTAATTAAACCCATGGCAAAAAACTGCACTTAGTAAAAAGTGGGGAGCCCCCCCTTCCCGCGTTCCGGAATTTAGCAGTTAGATTTCTTTGCATTACTTTTCAAACAGCATATCCGGTGATGAGTTTCGAGTTAGAAAAAAAATCCGATAGATGATCATGATGGAAACAATTTGTCAAACGTATCTATGAAAGAAACGTGAAAAATGGCAGGGAATTTTTGGCAGAGTTCACAATAGTAAGAAAGAGATCCAACAAAATTACTAGATCTGAATTTAACAGATAAGCTTGTGCTAAAAAAAAAGTCAAATTGATGGCATTGTCTGTCACAAAAGGAAAAAACGTTTACATAAATATGAGGTCATGTATCATAAAATATCTCGTTCCTTTCAGCCAACAATGGTTGTTTGATAAACAGGATTTAATGAGGGAAAGGCAACAGGATTTAAAAATTCTGAACTCGGAAGAGGATTACCACAAAATACTGATATTTTTTGCTAATTGTAGGTATTTTTAATTTTATTTGAATTGATGGCTACTGTTAAATTGAAAAAAAAAGAAAGATATTTAAGTTTATAATTATCTAAACAAGGTTTGGTTAAAAAACAAATGCTAGTAAGACTATAATTTCTACTTTCACTGTTTTGTGTTTTTAGAAGCAATGCCATGATGTTTAACTTATGTAGTTTCTGACAATTTAATAAGAATTCAGAAAAAAAATATTAATGCAAAAAATATTTGTAAACTCTGTGTAAGTATGGAAAGTACATGTAGATTGAGAAATGTACAGTAAAACATCCTTATAATGAAGTGCCAGGGATGGGTGATTTTGCTTTGTTATGAACACAATTCGTTATATCCATTAAGTTCACAGAATATTTCAAAGCCACAGGGAATGAAAATCACTTGATATAAGGCCAAACCAAAAAATACGTGTGGTTCCGGTTACACTTCCAAAAAAATTAGGGTAGGTAGGTAGGGATTATTTTTTTTTTTTTTTATTTTTATTTTTTTAACAAAACGATTTTCTTAATTTTTTCTAAATAATACCTATCACTGCTTTGCAAATGGCATTTAGATGTGGTGTGATAATATACTAGTCAATATTGGTTGGGGACACCTACATGCTAGCTTGCTTTGGATTTAACACTATTAAACACTTGCACTATGTTTTGCAAGGAGGCCGTTATTGCTGAAACTAAAACTTAAACTGGAGCCATTGATGGAAATTGGGGGGAAATTCCGGAAAAAATATGAAAATTACCAAAAAAAGTTTAGGGTCGGGGGTATAAAATAGGGAAGGTCGGGTAACCGGAACCACACATATTTTTTTATTTGGCCTAAGCATCAATTCTTCATAAGTGTGTTTTACTGTACTCTGTTAACAGCATATTTTTAAATTATACTAAGTACTCTGTATTTTAGTTATACAGTCTTTGGGAGAACAGTTAAAACTTCGACAGCAAGTAATAGCTACAGCTACTGTTTACTTCAAGAGATTCTACGCAAGGTAACACCATCACTTCCCATTCTTTGTACAGCAAAATAAGATTCATTCTAAATTCACTTTAAAATCTTTTGGATTTAATTCAGATCTACATACATTTAATTTTTCCTAACATGCATGTTCAACAAACAGGTAAAGGAAATTAGAAAACTAACGTACTTAATTACAGTCAAACTTCGTTATCTCAAACTCGATGGGACTGAGAAAAAACTTCAAGATATCCTAGGGTTTGAGATATCGAGGGTAAAATACTTAAGAGATACGTGGTTAGGACTTCCTAATAACTTCGAAATATCCATGGTATTCGAGATATCCGTGTTCGAGATACCGAAGTTCAACTGTATATCTCTCAAATTCAAGCTTAATACGAGGGCCGTTCAAAAATTACGCGGACTTGTTGCACAGAAAATATATTTGACGACATAATCAAGCAAAAAATCATAAATAATGTAGAAGAATCTTTTCATATATGATCATCAAAATTTCATATCAAAATATTGTAAATTGGTATCAATTTCAAGTTATTTAACAGGACATCTCATGAAGTCACGGCACAGTAAAACTTTCAACGTCACAGGCATTTTAAAAAATGGGAGCTTTCATTTTCTCAATATTTTCCTTTAGTATTTGATACTTTATAGGTTTGGTTACCTTATCCACTCAGAATAAACATCCATATACCATTTCTGATTCAGCTTAAAAACTATAAAACTATCATTGTGTGTTTTAGTTTGTGTTTAACCCCAAAACTGCAGATATTCCTGAAGTAAGGTTTGACATCAGTCGATCTCAATCACATTCTTCACAGCCCAGATCAGTGTTTTGTCGATGAACTTCTTCCATTCCTCCCGGATTGCCTTTTGACTAAGGTCTATCAGTCTAAAATTCTTTTTAGCTCACCTGAGCTGAAAGCTCAAGTGAGCTTTTCTGATCACATTTTGTCTGTAATCCGTCTGTCTGTCCGTTTGTCCATCCGTCTGTAAACTTTTCACATTTTCAACTTCTTCTCCAGAACCACTGGGCCAATTTCAACCAAACTTGCCACAAAGCATCCTTGGGTGAAGGGGGTTCAAGTTTGTTCAAATGAAGGGCCATGCCCTCTTCCAAGGGGAGATAATTAAGAATTGGTGAAAATTTGGTGTCATCTTTTAAAAATCTTCTTCTCAAGAACCATTGAGCCAGAAAAGTTTAAAATTATGTGAAACCTTCATTACATAGTGTAGATTCAAGTTTGTTCAAATCATGACCCCCGGGGGTAGGGTGGGGCCACAATGGGGGATCAAACTTTTATATAGGAATATATAAGGAAAATCTTTAAAATTCTTCTTCTCAAGAACAACAAAGCCACAATTAGTCATATTGATGTGGAATCATCCTCAAGTAGTGTAGTTTCAAGTTTGTTCAAATCATGACCCCCGGGGGTAGGATGGGGCCACAATGAGGGATCAAAGTTTTATATAGGAATATATAGAAAAAAATCTTCTTCTCAAGAACAACAAAGCCACAATTAGTCATATTGATATGGAATCATCCTCAGGTAGTGTAGATTCAAGTTTGTTCAGATCATTACCCCCGGGGATAGGGTGGGGCTACAATTTGGGATCAGTTTTACATAGGAATATATAGGAAAAATCTTTAAAAATCTTTTCAAGAACAGGAAAGCCATGATTAGTCATATTGATATGAAAGCATCCCCAAATATTGTAGATTCAAGTTCAAGGCATCCTCCAGTAGTAGGGTGGGGCCATAATGAGGGATCAAAGTTTTACAAAAGGACATATATAGGAAATATCTTTAAAAATCTTCTTCAATCTCAAGAACAACAAAGCCATTTTTAGTCATATTGATATGGAAGCATCCTCAGGCAGTGTACATTCAAGTTTGTTCAAATCATGACCCCCCCCCCCCCCCCCCCCCCCAGGGTAGGGTGTTAGACATCTTTAAAATTCCGTTTTAAAGAACAGCAAAACCATGATTAGTTATATGAAGATAGAGGCATCCTCAGAAGGTTTATATTCAATTTCATTCAGAACATGGCACCTTGGGGTAGGGTATGCCTAGAACAGGCGATCAAAGCTTTATATATGAATATATAGGAGAAATCTGTTGACGTAGAACAGCAGGGCCATATTGACTCAGGTGAGCGTTGTGGCCCATGGGCCTCTTGTTTACATTTTGTAAAGATGTGTTGGATATTCCACTGGTTTACTTCATGTTTCATTAGGATTATTCTGGGTCTCTATTGGCATTTTCCCAGCATGATTCATGATTTGATAAAAGTGCGCTGCTCCGTCAAATCACGAGACGTCATTTTTGCAGTTGATTTCGTAGGAATCACATCGGAGAAAAAATACAATATTTCTCTTAGTACTTCAAATATTACGCCAGAAATCTAAATACTTAATAATAAAACAATAAAAAGAAATTTTAGAGAAAATTTTTGAATAATATCATGAAATGTGGAAAATAAATGAATAAAATTTTGGATACCGCATGTTTGTTTTTAAACATTTTTGCCGTGCTCCGTATATCACCATCAGCAGTATCAAAACGGCAATAATTTTATGAAATATTAAACAAAATGAAATCAAAAATGTTTACCAAGAATTTATTGGAATTTTTAAGAAATATGTTCCGGTGAAATTTCAATTCTATATGACGTCTGTTAGAGTAAATAATAGCAGAGTCCATGTAATTTTTCAACAGCCCTCGTAAATAATTAATAACATGTAATATTGAATTGTGGTTTTTGTAGATGGATTTGCATTTACCTGTACAATGTCCCCAGATACTGCACTAACTTTTTTAAATACATATAAAGGGTACCTCGAAGTGGGTGCATAATTCTAATACAGATACTGAGATACATGTATTATTTATGACTTTCTAGGAATTCTCTCAAATGCATTGATCCTTGGTTGATGGCTCCCACATGTGTGTTTCTAGCGTCAAAAGTGGAGGTAAGTTTTCTTTTCAAAAGATTATGAAATGAAATATTCTTGTTAATTTTACATGAATTATGACTATATCAACGGATGTTACAAATGCCTACATTATGTTGTGAAATAACTAAATTTAATGGGAATTAATTTTCTTTGCTTTCCTGGTATGAAGAGACCCACAGATTTATTGCCTCCACGAAATGTTAAATTTCAAATACTGTAGATCACTAAATTTTCGCGACACCTTATTTTCGCGAGATAGTCATTGACTTTTTATTAGTGAGACATAATTTTCACGAATTGTTGTTATTCCTCTATATAATCTTAATGAATACTATTATACGCAAGAATGATATTTTCGCGTGCTCACTGTCTCGTGTAATTACGTGAAAATAAAGTTCTCGCTAATAAAAAGTGATTTACAGTATGTAACAACTCAGCACTCCTTCAACGCCAAAATCAATTCCCCATTAATCACTGTTTTTTTCCTCAGACCACGAAAATTTGACCCCATGAAAATATGTGATTTTACAGTAATATATACCCCATTGATATAATGATGTACGTTTGTTCATGTATTATAGCGCAATTGTTGATTAAATTTAATTTAAAGCTATATATGGCGTAACTGATCTAAAAAATGAAAATATGAAATTGAGTGTAGATATACATGATAAAATGTTATTTACTTTCAAATTAAAATTTTTACCTATTTTGAACTTGAATAACCTCATGTTTCTATATTTAAATTGATTAAATGTGTGTTTTATTTAAATGTGGAGTCAGTAAATAAATCGGTTAATGTTTAAATTTTTTGATATCTTTGAAACACGGTTGATTTAAATTGTGTAATTTACTGAAAAGTCCTATCTTTATATAAAGTAATAAATCAAATAGAAAGATATTTTAAATTTTGGTTATCTGAACTTATCAAAAACACGCCATATTTGACTTTCAATCAAATTTCTTTTTCTAGGAATTTGGTGTTATATCAAACAGTCGACTAATGACGACTTGCCAGACAGTGGGTAAGGGAACAATCAACAACAATTTATTTCTGATTGTTTTAGTGTTCTGTACATGAGTGAAGGGAATTTTTCTAGAAATTTTAAGAATTTCTATTTTAAGAACCTCACAGATTGAGTAAATGAAAGCATTTAATTGTTGTTAATTGTTGTTTTAGTAAAGAACAAGTTTTCCCATGCCTATCCCCAGGAATACCCATACAGAATTAACAGTGTGTTGGAGTGTGAATTCTTCCTGCTCGAAATGATGGTAATTAAAAAATGAATCTTAAGAATGTGATGCTGCTTTTAGATTCAATTTTCCATTCTTCAAAATTTTTTTGACTAACAGTGGCTGTGGAATCATTTCATACTCGTAGTCCTGTATAAATTGTTAATTTTGATTGCCATTTACTTTTTTCGTTTAACAGAGAAGGATTTGTTTAATTATTTATAATTTCAGTATCGATCTTATATCCCCCTATCAAAGTATATTTTGAGTGACAGAGCGTGTTCTGATGCTTGTTTTTCAGGATTGTTGCCTGGTACTTTATCATCCATACAGACCTTTAACAGAGTATTTCAAAGAATTGTCACATGAAGACTCACTCTACCCCCTGGCTTGGTAAGAATTCCTTTTTGTTTTCATTGTTTTACTATAGAATATATCACAGAACTAATCAGTCTCTTTTATTCTGATTGGAATAGGAAGAAATAGTTCAGGATCTGAACAGTTTCTATTCAAATACATGTTTAGATACTTTTTTATTTGCCATCATAAAATGAACATTTTACTTTCTTGTTTCAATATTGGTACTCATTTGCTTAATTTTTTTATGCATGTTATTATATGGTACCTAGGGAAATATGTATACAGGGTTGTTGACATTTTGAAATAAAATTGCTATAACCTGCTCTTATTTATATCTTTATCCTACTTTTTACTTTCAGGAGGATCATAAATGACAGTCTGAGGACAGATGTTTGTCTTCTATACCCACCCTATCTCATTGCTTTAGGTATGTACCCACCCTATCTCATTGCGTTAGGTATGTACCAACCCCATCTCATTGCTTTAGGTATGTACCCACCCCATCTCATTGCTTTAGGTATGTACCCACCCTATCTCATTGCTTTAGGTATGTACCAACCCCATCTCATTGCTTTAGGTCTGTACCCACCCCATCTCATTGCTTTAGGTATGCTAACACACTATCTCATTGCTTTAGGTATGTACCCACCCCATCTCATTGCTTTAGGTATGCTAACACTCTATCTCATTGCTTTAGGTATGTATCCACCCTATCTCATTGCTTTAGGTATGTACCCACCCCATCTCATTGCTTTAGGTATGCTATAGGAGTGAAACGGTTCACCGCGGTATCGATGCACCGCGGTATTTTTTCTCGGTTTGATACACGGAGCAAAATCTCTAATTTTCGGTTCGGTTCATTTTTCGGTCCGGATTGTTATTCAGTCGGGTTTGGCATAAGGTATAACACGTTACCCAGAATAAATAAGTATAGAAAACGTAAATTTTTGATGACTGATAGCTTGTAAAATAATTTTTGACAGTCAAATAATTTTAATCAATTTCTTCTAGTCAATTTGCAAATAAAATTCGTAAAATAGGTGACTAGATTTAGAAAAAGAAAGCATAAAACAACGTAGAATTTGTTTTCTTCTATCAAAATGTATCGTATCGAAAATAACCGAACCGAGACAAAATTATACAATACGTATCGAACCGTGAAGGAGGTGTATCGTTTCACCCCTAGTATGCTAACACTCTATCTCATTGCTTTAGGTAAGTATCCACCCTACCCACCCTATCTCATTGTTTTAGGTATATATCCACCTTATCTCATTGTTTAGATATGTACCCACCCTATCTTATTGCTTTAGAAAAGTACCCACCCTATCTCATTGCTTTAGAAAAGTACCCACCCTATCTCATTGCTATAGGTATGTACCTTCTCTGTCTCATTGCTTTAGGTAAGTACCCACCCTATCTCAAAAGCAATCATTATAAAGTCATTAGGTCAGAAAAAGCAGATAATTTGTTATAGAATGTATAATTTTTCTAACTGAAACATCTTTTGTTTCAAGGCTTGAAGGAACCAGTGGAATTGAGATTATTCAACGAATTTAGACTTAATTTTAATCACCTATAAAATGATTATAAAAAGTATGTTAAAATTCAAAATTGTAATTAACAACATTGTGGTAATGTAATTTAACCAACCATCTTTGGACTTTGGTCCTTTAGGCCATTGAGTCTAGTGTTTTCCTGTGTAACTATCTTCGGGTACTGTATTTTAGAATGTTTACAAGCAACTGTTGTCCTCAGCTGTATTAAAGTACATTACATATTTACTGTCCTTTATTTCACAGCTTGTCTACACATTGCTAGTGTCATACAACAGAAGGATCTCAAACAGTGGCTGGCAGAATGCAGTGTAGACATGGATAAGGTAGTACAGTAAAACAGGGTTATAGTGAAGACACTTATAATGTAAAACTTGCTTAGTAGGAAGATGGATGTAGCAAAGTTATGGATATAGCCAAGTAATGTACAGTAAAACATAGTGATAGAGAATACACTTACAGTGAATTCACTCTTTCAGCGAAGTAAATTTTAGTCCCCATAGCCAAGTAAATTCACAGGTCTCAAGGACTTTGCCTTAACAGAGAACACACTTTTTAATGAATTGACGCTTACAGTGAAGTGGGTTTTTTTTCACTGTGGTTTAAAACAGAATATTTACATTTGCTGTGTTTTTCTACTAAGCCAACTTTGAAATTGATTTGAAAGCCATTTTCGTGTATACTCACCTGTCGAAATAAATGTACACAGAGAAACTCGCGCTAAAGTGACGTCACAATGAGGCTACAGAGACGTTAATAAAAATATGACGATACAGAGCAACGAGAAATTCACATTGAGTATATTTTTGGTGCTTTTAAACACTTAAATTATAAATATAAGGAATGTTTTTAAGTTCAGTGTGAAAAATATGCCTACGTGCAAGTCTGTGTGATTGACACAAATAACTTACACAAAACTTAAAGATATACACGCTATATAAACGCGATTTTTTATGTGAAACAAAATTATTAAATGATTTGAGAAACATGATGTGTAATAAAAAATAATTACTTTCCACAAAGTTTTACTAAATAAGTCATTGTAATTACAAAAAAATTAAGCAAGATCTGCAATTAAGAATTCAGCCTATTCATGAATATTGATGAAGGAAGTGCGTAAACAGGATATAGACACGCATGTCCGCGGGAAATCATAGACAACGAGGTACGTTGCATTTTGACTACTACAGTGTATTTTGAATAAAAGTTAATATCTGTCATTACAGAGTAGATGGTTAATAATGGTTGTTTTCAAAGATAAGTACTGTAGATTCCTAAATATACGCGAGAAATAAATTATCGCGTAATTACGCGAGAAGCACCACTCGCGATATAGAACTACTCGCTTTATTTTTATGGTGCTTTAATGTATGTAAAATCTCTAGATAAATCACCCATTCGCGAATTATTGTTCTCGCGGTTTGATGCCCTTGGGAGATTTCACGATATTAAGTACTCGCATAAAATAAGGAATTTACAGTATCTTCAAACATAAAACGTATGCCATCCATGTCAAAAGCTATTTTGTATACCAAACGGCCTACCTCGTTTTCTTGACGCCATTTGTGTTTATCAATCTAAAAGTAGCGACGTTGTCACATGACGCATGAATTTAAATATAGCATTACTTTCCTAGAAGGATAATAAATAATTATAATTTGAGATCTTTATAATGCGTTCATTTCCAATTGTGTAATTTACAATATTTTCGTAACTTTATTTGGTAAACAAAATAAATAAATTTCCAACTTTATTTTTAACTTACACAAGTTATAGCGTGTATATCTTTAAAAACATTCCTTAATTAAAAACTTAACAGATGTATAGAATCACATTTATAATGATTCAAAATTATTGGTCCTTTGCACTTCATGTAAAGCATGTTTTACTGTATAGCCCATATCTGTTACAGATATCATTTTTGTGTTGTTAATGATCATATTTGCATTTAACTTGAGAACATTTTAAAAGATGTAAAATCCAATCTAAATACATCCAAACCTTCTTATAGCCATTCTGATATGACTGAGAAAAAAAAAACAACTTGAGGATATTTGTGGATTAGAAGTATTGAGATTAAAGTATAAACTAAAAAAGTGATAGGGACTTCAAACTCACTTCAACCTATCCATGATATTCAAAATATCAATGTTCTAAATGCTGAAGTTCACTGTACTGTAATGTCTCATTTTAGATCTTGGAGATATCAAGGCAAATACTGGCATTGTATGAATTGTGGAAGAACTATGATGAAAAAAAGGAAATAGCAGGGATTCTTGAAAAAATGCCAAAGTCAAGAACAACGTAGGTATTCAGTACTGGAAATGAATTTTTTATTCAAAAAAAAAAAAAAATTATGAATTTCTTAAGCACTTCTCATCTGCAAAAATTTGAAATTGTGAACCAGTTTCCTGGATTGTTCATTTTTTGATCTGAAGTCTTCATAGCAGAAACTTGTTTTCACAAACTACATTGGTATCAGGGATAGGTGAAATTAAGAAGCAGCAAATAAAAAGCAATCAGCAGTTCATACATTGTATTCTACTCAAGTTTCTTGAGCTTTTCCCTAGGGCTGGGACGATACAACATTTTCTATATCGATATGTATCACGACATTTGAGCCACGATACAATATGTATCATGATATGTTGAATTAGTTATAAAATGTTTTTGTATTGAAATGAACAAAACATTTCTTCACATATAAGAATAATTAATTCAAAAAAAAGTATATCTGTTGTAAAACAAAATTATTTTTCACAAGTGGTGTTTATTATTATGTATTTCATATTTATATTTTGCCTATTTATTATATATATTTAACCCAAAATGTTCAGTAAAAAAAGAAAAAACGTGTCAGAAATTTTTTTGCAATATTTTCGATATTTCTTCATACATATCGATATGCGTATCATCCTCACATTGAATCGATATTATCGATATCTCGATATATTGTCCCAGCCCTACTTTTCCCCTAAATACATTCCAGGTCGTATTTAGATAAAAATTAGGGATGGCAATTTGTAACCGGTTAACCGATTACTCGGTCAGAACGATGGTAATCGGTTAGAAAATCTGTAATTGGTTAGTCGGAAAAAATAAAATATATAAATTTGCAATATTTTCGATATTTCTTCATACATATCGATATGCGTATCATCCTCACATTGAATCGATATTATCGATATCTCGATATATTGTCCCAGCCCTACTTTTCCCCTAGATACATTCCAGGTCGTATTTAGATAAAAATTAGGGATGGCAATTTGTAACCGGTTAACCGATTACTCGGTCAGAATGATGGTAATCGGTTAGAAAATCTGTAATCGGTTAGTCGGAAAAAATAAAATATATAAATTTGAACGCAATCTTCTTAAATTCATTTTTAAAAAAAGAAACCTCAGTGTAAATGTTGATAATTTAGCTTTTTGCACATATCAATTTAAGCTGATTTAGCGGTAATTATGACTTTCCGGATTGAGATCGAGGGGTAATTGGTCTCTTTGTGAAGTGTTAATTACTGTTTAAACACCATGTCGTTATCCCGACTGTCCTGTAATTTTTAATGATATAAAAAAAAATCACCGTTGAGCACTGTGAATTGATATGTCTATTTTTTGCAGTTATCTATCAAATTATATTATTAGACAAACATTGTAAACTAAACGAAAGTTAATAATTATTCCGACTTAGTTTTGATTGTGGTGACAATGCAGTATGAAGAAATCAGCTCTGGAAAATTATCAATGTCTGATTTCTCAGGCACGTTTCATGGGTTTTCTTAATTTTTTCTTGTCTATTGATATTGAAATAAAATTGTGTACATGTAGTTTCCTGATCGAGGTAAACATAATATTTCTATGTTTATAAGAACAGAGCTTCTTAAAAAATGTGTATTTTGATACGATTAACCAGTTAATCGGTCGGAACGTCTTGCGGTTAACCGATTAGCATTTCTGTAATCGATTGCCATCTCTAATAAAAATGCTTTATAGGTTGTCATATGAAGCTATTGTTGATGAGGTCCACAAATTGTATTTGACTTTATTTCCATCTTCCTCTTGAGATCTGAAGTTTAAAAGATGTAATCATCAGAATCTCCAAACCTTTAGCTAAGGAGATAAAATGCATCTGTGTGCAAAATATTTTTTTGTAGCTTGCCAAAACGAATATTTTAAGTCGTCAAAATTTGATAGAATTTATCACTACAATAAGATTGAAAAATATCCCAGTTGTTTAATATAGCCTGTTGAATAAAAATTATGAACTTTAATTTGGAGATGACAATATCTATATTTAAATATTAATTTGTCAGGAAGAGAATGTTGACTCAGGTGAGCATTGTAGCCCATGGGTCTCTTTTTTATTACCAGGGTTGAATTTGTTTCATTTTAAGTCGTGTACCAGGATACATTTACTTATATTAATAATCAGGGGAAAAATAGTTTCTGAATTCATTCTGGGTTTACGTTACAGCCCTGCTTCACCTCAAGAAGTTACTGCCCAGCAACAGAATAGTCAACAGAATGTGGTATAGAGACAATTCTAATGCAACAAAAGAATAATCAATAAGATGTGGTGTGGAGATAATTCTAATGAATCAGCATCTAATTATCAACAAGATGTGGTGTAGAGACTATTTACTGATAAGGAGTTAAAACTATACAGTACCATCACATCCAGATATTGGATGACTTTGGTATTTTATAGAGAGGAGAAACAAAATGGGAACTGAAAACAGGACGTCGCCTAGCAACATTTTAGAAAAAAAGAAGATATTTTAAATGTACTGTAATTTTGTCAAAAGGTGCTTTAGAAGGCTTTTGTAATTTTGTAACGAATTGATTTGTTGTAAACAATATGAATGTATTAATTACAAAAAGACTGTAGATATTGTGTTATTATTTTTTAGGAATTAGCTTTCATTTATCAAGCTAATATTAATGTACTATTGTAAATTTAGCACATTTGCAAGAGTTACATGGAATAACAAAGGCCAGATTCACTAGCACTCTTTGGAATTTTGTTGAAAATGTGTATTTATATACTGTTAAATTCATTGTCTAACTTAGAGTCAATTTCAGTGGTTCACGATTGAGTAAGACAAGACTATGGCTGGACACTTTATTGTGTTTACAGTATTTATACGTGGTATAACTGAATGTTTGAAGTTCAGCAATTGTAATCCACATTAGGCACCTAGTGTCACTTTTGCTGTTTATTTAGTATGGAAATTTTCATTTAAATACTGGTCGAAATGAAAGAGAGCCCCCCCCCCCCCCACACACACACACACACACGTGCGCGCGCGAAATAGGTGTTACGAGCTTGAACAGCATTCTTTTTTTCTGTTTTTTTCCCAGCCACTTTGTTGGGCTTCACAATTTATTTTTAGCTGACCCCTCACTTTGAAAAATGATGCCACGTCCCTTGCATATCTTTCGATTAAAAAAACATTCAGTTGAAGAAGTTCTATACTGTATGTCTTAAATATTCAAAATGCGTGTATATGCCAGATATTTTGAGCAAATGTTATGAAACCAAATGCCAAAGAAAGGTTATAATTTTTCACTAAAATGAACTTGATTCTTTAAAATAATACTGGTTTTATGAATATGTTAACATAATAATACTTGTAACGTCTTTGCGAGATGAGAAATTTGTAAAATAATTTAGAAATTCAAATAACCTCACTAGTACAGTTCAGAAAAAGTTTCCAAGCTACAATCATGAGTTTGTGATCCGCACTGTCCCTCCGTTTTTGAGGAAGCGATGAGCATGCAGATTTTTAACCATTGGCTAACAAAGATGCCAAGATACTAAAATAAACAATTGAAACGAACTCTTACACAGCTCTTGACCTAAGGCTTATAAATATCTAAGGTCATGACCTCTGAAGAGTCATTGTAAGCAATTTATGGATATTCAGGTCATCGACTTGTGAAATTCATGTTAATCCATTTGTAAAAACATGTATTTGTCTTGGTCTGTCTAATTTGAATATCAGTAAAAAACAAAACAGAATGATTCAAGTCAAATGTTTCAAGACATTTCAGACAGAAAAAAATAAAGTAAACTAAAGTAAACCTAACGAAGTGGAGATGTTATAAACAAACAACTCTAGATCCTTAAGTTTATTTGCAAGGTCAACATTTGATGCATTATTTTTATAAAGAGAATTAATTGCTTACCCCAAATTAGTTAATTTTAATATTTTAGACTGCGTCTGTGTTTTTTAGTATTCCGTATGAATTCGAAATTGATAAGCTATATACTGAATCTTTTCAATACCCATGCATATCTACAAAGTCATTTAAGTTCATCTTGTGTTTTTACACACATTTTAAGAGTACCTAAATAATGTGAAACACCGGAAGAGATGGTCAGTGGCTTTTTTTTTTTGAAAGTGAAACACCCCCCTACCCAGTATGAACCCTTTTTCTCTGGTTAGAAATTTCAGCCGAATCCCTGATGTCTGTTTTAGAATTCAGAGAATTTAAAACTAACTATAACAAGTTCACTTATGTTATCTCCATTAGCTACAAAATAATATTTTCAAGATTTGGGCTCTGAATCAGAAAACTTCCATAGTTTTCAAGCACTTTTCACTTCCTTTGTGCGAGATACACATGTATACCCTGGATCCGCAAATGACATAAGACCGCGGAACATTTACTGGCAAAATTGGAAATATACAGCTTACGTCTTTTCCATCTGTTACAGTCAAAACATTTAATGATAGACAATGAAATGGGCGGGTACAATTCGGCACGGACGTCCGAGAAAACATTGGATTGAAATTCTATATTGAGATTCATTTTCAATCCACCTGAGCTGTTTTCAAACGCAGAGTGTGAATGTATGATCCAAAAGACAAATCATTTCAATTCCCATATACATGTTGTTTGAAATTCATATTTATCATTGTTGATACGAGTTTTTAGCCTATAATTTTAAGGACACATAAAAGTCATAGAAGACAGAGATTATTTTTTCAGGGAATGGATATTTGATTCTAGAAGGGGAGGAGGTTAAAATTGTCGAGTCAGATCATGCCTTCCAAGACAAAATATATTTATTTCTAGGATGACAAGAGGTATTTTCTTTAGTTTTGTCTTCACTGAAAAATGTTTGACAATGAAAAACAGGGAGGGGTTGTCCAAACTAAAAAAAAAACTTTCTTTTTTATTTTCAAGATCGTTCACCCCCCCCCCCCCCAACACATGCATACACATACCTAACAGAAATAAAATATTTGTCCCTTGATTGTAACAGATGGAAATGACGAAAGCTGCATATTTCAGATTTTGCCAGTTAATGTTCCGCGGTCTTAAAGAAAGTCAAATCGATTGCTATATATTGCATAACGGTTTCATATGAAGTCATCGCCGTTTCCGTACGATTTAATATTGATTGCACAAAGAAACAAGAAATGTGACTGATTTTAATGATGAAGAAGGGCGGATCTCAGAAGAAAATTGCCATATGAGGCAAATGTAGCGTGCCAAATTAATAATACTCGGGGCCATCGCCAGGTTTCTGGAGGGGGGGGGGGGGTCAGAAGAGGGTCTGGGAGAGGTATAGTCTCTTCCCCCTAGCTAGATTTTTTTGTTTGTTTTGTAAATGGGCATATATTGGTATGATCCTGTCCATTGAAGTCATTTTTAGCTCACCTGAGCCGAAGGCTCAAGTGAGCTTTTCTGATCACATTTTGTCCGTCGTCCGTCCGTCCGTCTGTCTGTCTGTCTGTCCGTCCGTCTGTAAACTTTTCACATTTTTGACTTCTTCTCAAGAACCACTGGGCCAATTTTGATAAAACTTGGTACAAAGCATCCTTGGGTGAAGGGGAATTTAAATTGTTAAAATGAAGAGCCAAGTCCCCTCACAAGGGGAGATAATCAAGAGAAGACAAAAATAGGGTGGGGTCATTAAAAAATCTTCTTCTCAAGAACCACAGGGCCAGTAAAGCTGAAACTTATATGGAAGCATCCTGGGGTAGTGTAGATTCTAAACTGTTCAAATCATGACCCCCGGGGGTAGGGCGGGGCCACAATGTGGAATCAATGTTTTACATAGAAATATATAGGAAAAATCTTTAAAAATCTTCTTCTCAAGAACCACTGGGCCAGAAAAGCTGAAACTTATGTGGAAGCATCCTGGGGTAGTGTAGATTCTAAATTGTAAAAATCATGACCCCCGGGGGTAGGGCGGGGCCACAATAGGGAATCTAAGTTTTACATTGAAATATATAGGAAAAATCTTTAAAAATCTTCTTCTCAAGAACCACTGAGCCAGAAAAGCTGAAACTTATGTGGAAGCATCCTGGGATAGTGTAGATTCTAAATTGTTCAAATCATGACCCCCGGGGGTAGGGCAGGGCCACAATAGGGAATCCAAGTTTTACATTGAAATATATAGGAAAAATCTTTAAAGATCTTCTTCTCAAGAACCACTGAGCCAGAAAAGCTGAAACTTATGTGGAAGCATCCTGGGATAGTGTAGATTCTAAATTGTTCAAATCATGACCCCCGGGGATAGGGCAGGGCCACAATAGGGAATACAAGTTTTACATTGAAATATATAGGAAAAATCTTTAAAAATCTTCTTCTCAAGAACCACTGAGCCAGAAAAGCTGAAACTTATGTGGAAGCATCCTGGGATAGTGTAGATTCTAAATTGTTCAAATCAGGACCCCCGGGGGTAGGGCAGGGCCACAATAGGGAATACAAGTTTTGCATTGAAATATATAGGAAAAATCTTTAAAAATCTTCTTCTCAAGAACCACAGAGCCAGAAAAGCCGAAACTTACGTGGAAGCATCCTGGGGTAGTGTAGATTCTAAATTGTTCAAATCATGACCCCCGGGGGTAGGGCAGGGCCACAATAGGGAATCCAAGTTTTACATTGAAATATATAGGAAAAATCTTTAAAGATCTTCTTCTCAAGAACTACTGAGCCAGAAAAGCTGAAACTTATGTGGAAGCATCCTGGGATAGTGTAGATTCTAAATTGTTAAAATCATGACCCCCGGGGATAGGGCGGGGCCACAATAGGGAATACAAGTTTTACATTGAAATATATAGGAAGAATCTTTAAAAATCTTCTTCTCAAGAACCACTGAGCCAAAAAAGCTGAAACTTATGTGGAAGCATCCTGGGATAGTGTAGATTCTAAATTGTTCAAATCATGACCCCGGGGGTAGGGCGGGGCCACAATAGGGAAACATTGAAATATATAGGAAAAATCTTTAAAAATCTTCTCAAGAACCACTGGACCAGAAAAACTGAAACTTATGTGGAAGCATCCTGGGATAGTGTTGATTCTAAATTGTTAAAATCATGACCCCCGGGGGTAGGGCGGGGCCACAATAGGTATTACAAGGGGGGAAGTCTGGTAATAAACAGCATGGCCAAAGTTACTCAGGTGAGCGATGTGGCCCATGGGCCTCTTGTTCACATATGAATTAATTTTGTTTCAAAATTTTATTTTCAAGTTGTCTGTGTGTGTTTTTAAAGGGGGCGTGATCGCACCCTACGCACCCCCGTCCCGACGGCCTTGAAACTGAAAATCCAAAGTGGTGTCCTTATTCCCTCCGAGGAACCAGCCGTTCGTTAATTATTTCATTTGGTCGCCCATTCCTTTTGATTATTGATGGTTCGGGTATTAGATGATCTAAATGCTCCTTGCTGGACTGTGATTTCAATTGTCACACACAAATAATACTTGCACGATCGATATCAGACTTTGCCCGCTCGTGAACAGCTGACGGTAGTGCCAATTGCGCGTGTGCATTAGAATAAAAATAGATTTTATAAACAAACAAACCGTATAAGTCTTTGTTTTTGTATAAACCCCACGCACACTTCGTAACAACTCGGAATATGACAGTATTCATACTACGTAACAGTGTATACTAGATGTAAAAGGTTATCGCTAGCCTTGGTCGACCTTGTCATTGACTGGAATAATCTTTGCACCAAGAAGAATTATTCTAACGAGGTTTTTTTTCCTAGTGACATTGATACTTGACAAGGAGAATGGAGATCGTGGAGGATTTCCCCAGGGACACAGGCTGGTCCTGGGTCGTTTTGTTGGGTAAGTAGAGTTTTAAGAACCAGGGTGGGGACGGGAGGCTATAGGGTTGTAGAAAATTCGCGTAGTGTACTTTTGCTTTGGGCAGTATTCAGCATGGTACAGCCCTCCCGCTCCCTCCCCCCGAAATAAAATCTTTGGCACTGTCTGAATTATGTACTTCGAAGTTGAAAGCCTATCTTGCTCTAAGAAATTGAGTGAATATACATATACTGTATAGATATAAAATATTAATTTTAACTATAAAGTAGCATGCAGTAAAATGTTTCCTATTTGTACACGTTTAACACATTCATTTCGATATCGTTGTTTTTCGTGCACTTGCATGTAATTTGTTTAAAGAGCGGTTGGTACAAAGTACATGCACTTTTTATATTTGTATGCTCTTTAAAAGAAATAATACCTAAAATATATCCACGACATCGTCCGAAATAAGTCAATACCCATTCTTTCTGTCTAGAAGTATAACAATTTCACAAAAAGGCACAGACCTCCATTACATCAAATCTCAACAAGACAGTGAAGAGATATATATCTTAATTAATGCAAATATATTGGCAGTTGGAATTCAAGATCATGTTTTTGCCCCCCCCCCCCCAAGAAAAGGGGGGATTATAATTAAATGTGGCAGGATCTCATTTTGTATATTTATCGATTCTGATGTATTTGTTATATATATGTGCATGTAACTATAGAATCACAAAAGTTAAACATTCGAGATCAAGAAGATCAAAGTTTATTTACTGCATCAGATATATATTTTTTTCTTGGTACGGAGGTAGATCAAGATTACATAAGAAAAGCTGCCTACATGCTGAGAGACATGTAGTTCCCCCCAGTACCCTGCTCTTTATTAATGATTTATATACTTACCTATAACTGTATATTGTAGTTACCTGTGCATTTTACTTACCTGTGTGATATACAATACTTTCAGCCTCAATGACCACATGTTTCCTGGAAATGGGTACCTACAAATGTTTTGGTATTTACATGAACGCGTATCTGGAGGAATTCAACACGTCAGTTACAGTTGTGTCATTAATCTCAGGAATCTTCTCAATTTCATTTTGCATAGCAGGTAAAACAAACCAAAAAAAACAAAACAAAACAAAGCAAAAAAAAAAAAAACAACAAACAAACAAACAAACAAAAACAAACAAAAAATATCTTAAAATTATGGTTCTGTCTGGAACAAATGTAAATTAAATTCAAAGACATCACTAAAGCGAGTTAGTTACATAATTTGTGTTATTTCGCTCAGGAATTGTTAAAATACATTTTTTATGATCATTATCTATAAATATTTCTTTACTCTTTAAAAACTTTTCTAGGTAAGTTCTAGGTATTCCTTATATCTTCCTGTACTATAGATGTGTTAAGGACGCGTGCTACAAACAAAAATTGGATGGATTGGTATATATATTTTTGAACTATATATATATATATATATATATATATATATATATATATATATATATATATATATATATATATATATATATATATATATATATATATATATATAATTATCCTCTACAATATTAAGAAATTGTAGATTTTCTATGATGTTCAAATTTCTTCCATTTTCCATTACTCCTGTAAATATATGCCTTTTTTAAAAATCACTTTATAGGGCATTACTGAGAAAATTTGAAAGAAAAATTCTGCTTAAGTCCTGCATTTTATCTATACAAACAGTGATTTACAAATATGTGATGCTATATTTTCATGATTTTTGAAAAAGAAAACAAAACTTTTTATCACATCCTTAAATGATTTATATTTCTCCTTGCTTTCATTGAAAATTAAAATGATTATCGACAGAAGTATTGCACAATCTTTCTTTGTTTATCCACAGGAGTCGACATACCTATCAATTTTTACGATATTCCCCTTTAAATAAATAAAAAAAAAATACATAATACATTTTAAGGTATTACGTATTGTTCATTTATTGAAAAATATCGTTAAAATTAATAGATATACGCTGACTCCTGTGGTTTATCATGCATATTTTACAGTTCTGCCGGTGACGGTTTTTGGAACAGAACGGTTCAGCTGTCGGACAATGGTCATCTACGGGGGCTGCGCCCTTTTTGTCGGGTATATCTTGAGCAGTATTGCCCCTAGTATTGAACTCGTGATGCTGGCTCAAGGGGTTTTAGCAGGTAATAAAAATACTAGTAGTCCAACGTCTCTGAAAAAATTGTCGAATTGAAAGCTCAATATCCGCTTAAAAATTGAACCACCCAATTCAAGTTTTATAGACATATGCTTGTTTGAAGAAGTCATTATATAAAGGCCATTTCAATAGCTCTTTTCTTTGTCCCAAAATGCATTTGTTTACTAATATTACAAATACTACATAGATTAACATTTTTAAATGTGAATATTAAAAGAGACTACATAATGTTAATCTTTATTTTTCCTTCTGTATATAAAACCCGATTCTATAAACATTTTCTAGCAAGTGGATCGGCCTCTATACATCCACCAACTTTAATCATCCTAGGAAGATATTATGATAAAAGAAGAGGATTTGCGAATGGCTTAGCAGTAGCAGCCGGAAGTCTAGGAGGGATGGTCACGCCAATTGTGTTCACCAAGTTAATGGAGGAATATTCCGTCAGGGGCGCTCTTCTCATTCAGGCAGCTTTACTGTTTAACATCGTGGCTGCTGCATCCTTGTTCCGACCAACAGAACTCACCGCCAAGCTGTACCAGTGTGAACAGCAGAAAAAGGAACGAAAAGAGCAACGCGAATTACTGAAACCACACAACATTGATGATAAGGCTTCAAATGGAAGTCTACTAGTGAAAGAAGTCCAAAATGGCATTGGCTACATTGGCAAGGAGGAAAACGGACCTTTAGTTCCAAATCATATACATTCAGTCGAACATATTTCTGTAAGAGAAATTCATACTCCACGTTTATCGTATCTGAGAAAACCAATGGAACATCATCATAGTACATCCACTGTGTCTCAATTTAGCAGTATCCATAGTATCATGTCGCCATCTATAGCAGACCTCCATTTAGCATCAACAACAACACAAACAGAATACGAATCTGATGAAAAATGCTCGTGTATGAATACTTTTTTGAAAATAATGGATGTTAGGATGTTAAAGAATAAGCTTGTATCTTTGTTTACCGTTGTCTTCTGTGTGGGCTCTATAGGAACCTGTCTTGGGGTCATATTTGTTGCCCCATTAGCCCGGGATCAGAATCTCACAAAGGACGAAATAGCAATAACCACGGCTTTAGTCAGTGGATCTGAATTTGTATTTCGGATTTTCCTCGGAATATTTGCGGATATGAATGTAGTTGAGAGATACCGTATTGTTCAAATCTCTCTCTTTGGGACCGGTGCTGTTTTACTGTCTTCTGTTCTGATTACGTCTTTCTGGCAGTTTACGATCTTTAGTATACTGTACGGGTTGTTTAGCGGACCCTTGATCTCCATGTATGCACCTGTCTGTATAGATTTTGTAGGATTAGAGAAGTTTCATCGAGTGATAGGAATTTTGATGTCCTTTCAAGGAATTTCTCTCGGGGTGTTTGGACCCACAGTAGGTACAGGCAGAATTTCAAGATATTAAATTTAAATACTTTAAGAATTATTTTTTATGAAGAGATTCGAATTTACTTATAATTTCAAAATTTCATTTTTCTTTTCAGGTATAATGAGAGACTCTTTCGGTTCCTATGTCCCAGCATTCCAAATGATGGCAGCGCTCACAATTTTTGGAGGGCTTCTTCTGTTCTTTGTTCCATGTTTGCGCAAGCAAGAAACCTTACCAGATGTTGTGGTTAACAAAGATGAACTGATACTCGAAAACAGTACTAAAGAATAGGATTCCGTGTTGTAAAACACGAAAAACGATATATGTTGATTTCTTTTTCTTTTAAGTACTTCAATTTGTGTTCTTGCAAAATACGTGTACATTATTTCATGTTAATTCTATATTTCTTTCTGAATAATGGATTATAAAAGCAAGTTCAAACAAATTCAACGCTATTACTCTGAAAAAAATTCCTCTGATAATGATACCTGTGTTTGACCATGAATTGGCACAAATAATTTTGTCGTGAAATTTGAACATATCTTGACCGACACTATTCACGACAAATTCACGTGAGCCACTCAGATCATCCTGTCGTTTATATGAAAGGGGGTCAGACACCGTACTGGTAAACATTTTCACGTGCTTATGTTTGTATATGTTGATGCAGCCTATTTAAAAAATTTGTTCTTGCTAAAATGATATTAGTTTTATTTGTATTTAAATACAATGAGCTTGTTGTTGAAATATCATGTTTGTCCTAGTTTTGCGAAATTACAATCACACTGCACTGTGTATGTAAGCAGCAGTGTAATCAGACTGTATGTAATTATTAAATTAAAACATTTAAAATAAATTTGTCTTAAAACTTTAAGCAAAACTTTTTTTACGATATTGATGATACAAAGTTAATTTTACACATGCAGTGCATGCATTTCATAAATGTGTACATGCATACGAAATGTCTATGTTTTCACCGCACCAAATTACAAATTTGGGAACAGCTGTGGTATACTTGACCTTTCTCCACTGCTTGAAGCACACACAGATACGTTGATAATGTGACTGCTTTAAAAATTAGGCATTTGTTTTAAATCCTTTGATCTCGGTCAGTGATTCATTGCCGTTTTGCTCTGAGTGGCAAATGATATTATATTTAATTTTTTTAGAGTGAAAATAAAAACAAGCAATCAAGAGTAGCCTTGGGTCGTCCTTTATGGTCAGAACCCTGAGATACAGACAGCAAGTGCGCCGCCGTCTCAAGTCTCAAAAATGCATATGTTTAGTTTCATCAAGCTGCTTTAGAAGACAAGATATAAGTAAAACCTATAAAAGGGTGATACTTGTACATATGTACATTTTCTATAGATGGTAACGTGGATTAAACAGACGTTTTATGATTTTTTTTTATAATACCTAAGCTATTAAAGAGTATTTTTCACATTCTCTTAAGATTCCTGTAAAACTATGATTAGTTATTATTGAAAAGGAATACTCTTTTATTTTTTATTGTAAAAAGTCTGTGATTCTGAGGTCAAATGATAATAAGTGTTAATGATTTCAAATATTTGAATATGCTTAAGAAATGAGAAGTAAGATAATCATATGTTAAACAAGATGTGTTTGTGAAACACTGATGCCCCCGTATGGCAGCTTATGGCGAAGGTTAAAGTTTCTCAAATGCAAGTCAAAATCCAGGCCAAAAAATAAAAAAATGTTAAATTTGAAAGCCCTAGCTGCAACTGTTCAAAAGTTATGGCGAAGGTTAAAGTTTTTAAAAAGTAAGTAAAACATCAACGTCAAGGTCAAAGTTGTTGGTATCCAAAGGATTAGGTCTAGTCACAAGGATTACATATGTAAAGTATGAAAGCCCTAGCACCAACCATTCAAAAGTTATGGCCAAGGTTAAAGTTTTTCAAAAGTAGGTCAAACTCCTATGTCAAGGTCAAAGGGTCAAAGTGGTTTGTATCCAAAGGAAAGTGATGTCACAAGGATTACATATGTGAAGTATGAAAGCCCTAGCTCTAACCGTTCAAAAGTTATGGCCAAGGTTAAAGTTTTTCAAAAGTGGGTCAAACTCCTAGGTCAAGGTCAAAGGGTCAAAGTGGTTGATATCCAGAGGAATATCTTGTCACAAGGAACACACATATTACGTTTGAAACCCCAAGCACCAACTGTTCAAAAGTTATGGCCAAGGTTAAAGTTTTTCAAAAGTAGGTCAAGGTCAAAAGGTCAAAGTGGTTGGTATCCAAAGGAAGGCCTTGTCACAAAGAATACACATGTGAAGTTTGGAACCCCAAGCACTAACTGTTCAGAAGTTATGGCCAAGGTTAAAGTCTCATAGAATTTTGCAAAAATGGGTCAAACTCCAAGGTCAAGGTCAAAAGGTCAAATATGATGGTACCCAAAGAAAGGTCTCGTCACAAGGAATACACATGTGAAATATGAAAGTCATAGATCCAACCAATCAAAAGTTATGGGCAAGGTTAAAGTTGACAACAGACAGACAGACAAACAGATAAACAGACAAACAGATAAACAGACAAACAGATATACAGACAAACAGACAGACAGGACAAAAACAATATACCCCCGGGATCTTTCGATCCGGGGGCATAAAAAAAATCATGTTGTTTCAATAACACGTTTCACGTTAGAAGCTTAGATTTTCACCTATTCTCTATTCTGAACATAAAAAATACTGGGAATTTCAAGACTGTATTTTCTAATTCAGAGGCCTGCATCAATTTCGCAAATTAAAATCGGAATTAAGAAAAATCTTAATATATGAATATTGGATTGAATATTATTTTAGATTTAATGTAAATTTATTGTATACATTTTTTTGGTAAAGCATTCACAAAGTATAATCACACAAAAGGTTTTGAGAAAAAAAAGAAGCTTTTGAGAATTGAAATAACATGTTGATTGACTAGTATTCAATTTCCTATGAAAAATTATTTTAAAAATAGTATATATATTTAGTACATGTATTATTCCAAACATTGAATAAATTAGAATTTGTTCATTTCATTCATTTAATACAATATTGATGATACACAAGGAAAGATATAATTGGAAAAGAAAATGCTTAAGAAGGTGTTTATAAAGTTCTTATTCAGTATGTTGTGTTTTTGTTACTAGTATTTAGTTCTTAGAGCACAATGCACGAGTGCACAGATTACGGAGCATGATAATGTAGGACAAAGGATAATGATAATGTAGGACAAATGTCTTATTCAATAAAAGTTTCTTTTACGCACAGACAGTTTTTTTCCTCTAAGATAAAATGATATTCGTCTCTTATTTGATAACAATTACCTAAGTTACATGGTCTTTTGGTTTTCCTAGGCATCACTCTGTCTGCCTTTTTGAATAGGGAGATAGTAATACGTAGTTTTAAATTTAAAAAAACTTTACAAAGTTTCATGATAAAATTAAATAGTTCACAAATTTTGAAAATTTTACATATTTATAGAATTTGATGTTCATATCAGTTTGATATAAATAACAAGCATTCTGAGAGTATTGCATTAGCAATACTAGTCCCCTACCGGCAAGTGTAATCTGGTTCCCGTAAAAAAATGAAAATGCCATAATTCCGTTAAAAATCATTGAAGCGGAACGAATGCAAACTTGATCTATAAGTAGTCAAGGTTAAGTCACACACCAAAAATCAGCACAGTATCTGCAAGCGTTTAGAAAAAAATCGCGGAAAACCCTTAAAAATTGAAAAGGTCGTAATTCCGTCAAAAATCAATGAAGCCGAACGAAATGCTAACTTGATCTGTAACTCATCAAGATACACTCACATACCAAAAATCAGCTCAATATCTGCAAGCGTGTAGGAAAAAAGTGCGGAAAACCAAGTGGGACAGACTGTCAGACAGACAGAGGGACAGACGGACAGACATTCAGACAGACAGACGGACGGACAGACTCAGTGGAATCCTATAGTCCCCTCCGGTTTCACCGGTAGGGGACTAAAAAGATGCTAAAATCTAGTTGTCAATCGGAAAAAAAACCTAGTTTGAATTCTTTTATAATTTTTAAAATGTTGCTATTGAAAGTATATACTCTTGTATTAAGCCATGTATGTAACGAGAGAAAGAGAGTTATAGAATATTAAAATGTTTTATAACATTTAAAGTATTTATATTTAATCTTAATAATTAGAAATATGTGGCCAGTATAGCAAAATCTTCTGAGTGAAAACTGTCAGGAATTTATTTAAAGAATGTATTTTAAAAATCAGCATTATCATTATTATAATTAGCTTATTTCACCAAAAGATTAAATACATGTATACCAAAGTGCATTTTACTTATGGTGTATAAAGTACATTAAACCAGGTATTTTCATAAAATTCTAATTATCAAGGTTTTAGGAAAACACTGGTTCGTGATGATAGACGAACATATTATGTAGCTTGAAGTTTTATAATTTTTTGAGAACATGACTTTATCGGTCTCTTCTTTATATTCCGAAAACAACGAAGATTAAACGTGAACAAAATTACATTCTTAAACAGTAAAAAAGAGTTTTGTATATTAAAACTGTAATAAAAAGAGAGTAAAGTGTACAAATTCTAAATGGCGTATACTTTTGTTCATTTATTAATTTTGAAGTTGAAAATTTGTCATGTTATTATTTTCAATTTTAGATTGAAAATTAATATACAAAACTATTAATTAATAAAAATATATTCACAACATTGATAGACAACTACAAAACTCCCACTCTTGATCCTTATTACTGAAAATTGAAAATATTTTGTTTTTAAAGTTAAATCCATTAGAATAAATGCAGTACAATCAACATATAGCTAACGCAATATAAGCTTATAAAAGGTCGCTGAAACTTATCATACATGTATGTGAAATATTAAGTTCAATTAGAAGGATTTCGTTCAAAAGAAACTTTAACTATTCGTAGTACAAATAAATATCGTTGTCATTAGCATATTCAACCTTACGAGAGAGAGAGAGAGAGAGAGAGAGAGAGAGAGAGAGAGAGAGACTGGCATAGATATGTAGTGATTTCACATGTTAAAGGCTAATAGTACTTGTATTCTAGAAAAAAAAAACTTTGCCCATTTTAATAAAGATCAAATAGCTGTATATATAGTGCAGAGTGTGCCCTTGCATATCTATTGCAGGTTACAAATAAAATACATGTATGTAAACAAACCGGGCATATATTCGATGTTGATTAAAATACATGTACTAACGTACTCTTTTCAACAACTTTAGAATATGACGGTTTCCATTCTGTATAGGAATATTTACATAATCTGCTGGGTTATCGCAATCTTTTGTAAGGAGGTCAGCATTTGATCTTTGCACCAAGACGCATAAATCTATCATTTTTCTTCGTAGCATGTAAAATCTCACAATAAAAATGGTCACAGGGGAGGATTTTCAGAGGGACGCGGGGTGGTCCTGGGTCGTTTTGCTCGGTAAGTAGACATCCTTGTGTGCGTAGACTGGTACTTTTCTTTTTGTGTTTTAGTCTTGTTTTTACACCTAGTATGTACGCTCTTTAAAAGAACATGGAAGGCAAGTTAGAATTCAAGATATATGTATAAACCAGGGGGTATATCTTAAAACTACAAAGCTGTTACATGGTAATTGAACACATTACAAGCAACACACATACTCTAATGTTTTGTTCCCTTTAATTTTCCCAACTTGAACATTCCTTGCACTATAATAACTTTTATTAATAGTTTTACTCATTATAGTATGCATCAGAATGTTTTTAACTATAATTGAAATGGTCACGATATATTAACCAAAACGGCTTTCTACTTGCTGAACTAAGAGTGATAAACTTTACTGACTATCAGATACATGTAATTGTGTATTTTTTGAACCTATAAAAAGTAAATATAATTTTTTCTAGCATCAATGACAACATGCTACCTTGAAATGGGTACCTTCCGATGTTTTGGCATTTACATGAATGCGTACCTAGACGAATTTAACACCTCTGTTACAGTTGTTTCGTTGATCTCAGGGGTGTTTCCAATTACGTTTTGCATAGCAGGTAAAAAAAAACCCCTAACTGAAACAGCTTTTAAGGGTAAAAGAAGTTAGCTCAGAAACAATTGTCACTTATGACCCAGTCTCTAACATCTTGCTCTTTTTCATCTTGATGATTTTACAGTTTTACCAGTGACGGTATTTGGCACTGAACGGTTTGGCTGTCGTGCATTGGTAGTCTACGGCGGTTTTGCTCTTTTTGTCGGATATATTTTGAGCAGTATAGCTCCAAATATTGAAGTTGTTATGCTGGCGCAAGGAGTCATTGCAGGTACTACAAGCAGTTAAAATGTTTTTGAAAAAAAAAATCAATGTCTCAATCCAGATAAAATTGTGCATTTTGTTTTAAGTATACATGTACATTTGTAAATAACTGTTCTGAACTATTTATTGCAAGTCTACACATTTAGAAATGTGTGAAGGTATTTTTTTTCCTCAAGATTGGTCTTGTTTTCATATGTAAATAAACTGTTTTCCCATAATACGAACATTTTTTCTCTTCAGCAAGCGGAGCAGCCTGCACAAACCCACCAAGTTTAATAATTTTAGGAAGGTATTTTGATAAAAGAAGAGGGTTTGCGAATGGCTTAGCTTTAGCAGCCGGTAGCTTAGGAGGTATGCTAACGCCTATTGTGTTCACGAAGTTAATGGAGGAATATTCCGTCAGGGGCGCTCTTCTCATTCAGGCAGCTTTACTGTTTAATATCGTGGTTGCTGCATCCTTGTTCCGACCAACAGAACTCACCGCAAAGCTGTACCAGTATGAACAGCAGAAAAAGAAACGAAAAGAGCAACGCGAATTACTGAAACCACACGGCATTGCTGATAAGGCTTCAAATGGAAGTCTTCTAATGAAAGAAGTCCAAAATGGCTCAGGCTACATTGGCATGAAAGATAATGGACCTTTGGTTCCCAAACAGATACATTCAGTTGAACATAATTCGACAAGAGAAGTTTCCAATTCACGTTCATCTTTTCTGAAAAGACGAATGGAACATCATCATAGTACCTCTACTGTTTCTCAGTTTAGCAGTATTCATAGTATCATGTCGTCATCTTTAGCAGACCTCCAATTAGCATCAAAAACGAAAGACTCAGGCAACAAATCAGTTGTTAAATGCTCGTTTTTGAATACTTTTTTGAAAATAATGGACATTAGGATGTTAAAGAATAAGCTTGTAGCTTTGTTTACCATAGTCTTTTGCACAGGTTCAATAGGGGCATGTCTTGGTGTCATATTTGTAGCTCCATTAGCTCGGGATCAGAATCTCACAAAAGACGAAATAGCAATAACCACGGCTTTAGTCAGTGGTTCTGAATTTGTTTTTCGAATATTACTCGGAATATTTGCGGACATGAATGTTATAGAGAGATACCGTATTGTTCAAATATCTCTCTTCGGGACTGGTGCTGTTTTACTATCTTCTGTTATGATTGCATCTTTCTGGCAGTTTACGGTCTTTAGTATACTGTACGGGTTGTTTAGCGGGCCTCTGCTTTCTATGTATGCACCAGTCTGTGTAGATTTTGTGGGATTAGAGAAGTTTCACCGAGTGGTAGGAATTCTACTGTTCTTTCAGGGAATGTTCCTCGGTGGATTTGGACCCACTATAGGTAACAAATACTAATTAAGTACATGTATATTGAGAAAAATCAATTATATTTAAAACTATTCTAACTAACTAATACATAATTAGATTCACTAATACTTTCACAATTTGATTTATCTTTAGGTGTAATGAGAGATTCGTTTGGTTCCTATATCCCTGCGTTCCAAATGATGTCATCTGTTACAATTTTGGCGGGATGTCTTTTATTCTTTGTTCCATGTTTACGAAAACTAGAATCCGCCCCAGATATTGTGATTGAAAGCGAATAATCAAAGCTTGAAAATTACCTCAAAGAACCTTGCTGAGGATAGCATATTAACTTGCATGTTAATTTGCCCTCGAATGAAAAATAAAATAAAGGGGAAAACATGTTTGCAGTTCTTTTACAAACCAGCTCTTAGTTATTCCCTTATGCACATTATTATTTTTGTTACAATCTTTATTTGTTTATGAAAAGTTGCCTCAATCATTTTCATAAAAACTAACACAAACGGACACACAGTTCCAATCATAAAGTCTGCTCGTCAGACGCAAGTACACTTTCTAGATTGTAAAATATATTGTAAAATCACTAATTTTCATGAGGGTCCAATTTGCATTGTTTTCGTGGTTTGCGGAGACCCAAGAATTCATCCTCCACGAAGTGTTAAAATTTGTAATGAAAATAACGCTAACGCGAAATCAAATCCCAACGAACCAACATTCATTTTCTTAATTCACAAAATTTTGAAAATAAGTGATTTACAGTGTACAACTGTATTACAAATTACTGTTTATTGGTCCCATTAGTGTCTACTTATTAGAAAAATAAAGTCCTATACAAATATAAATAAATTGGAATCATTTAAATCATTAGTAACTTTAATTATTTTTAATTGGAATTTCTTGTGTGAGTGTGTGTGACTTAAATATTTTTTCTTAAGAAAACAAGATGTGTTTGTGAAACACTGATGCCCCCGTATGGCAACTCATATCAAAGGCTAAACTTTCTCAAATACAAATCAAATATGTTGGTACCCAAAGTAAGGCCTTGTCTCGAAGAATATACCTTTGAAATATGAAAACCCTAGCAACAACCATTGAGTAGATATGGAAAAGTTTAAAGTTTTTCAAAAGTAATTCAGTTACATCAAATTCAAATGGTCCAAATTAATTGTGCCTAAGGAAAGGCTTTCTAACAAGAAATACACATGTGAAATATGAAAGCCCTGGCACCAACCGTTCAAAAGTTATGACCAAAGTTAAAAGTCTTTCAAAAGTAGCCTGTAGGACAAACTCCAAGGTGAAAGGGTCAAAGTTGTTTGTATCCAAAGTCTTGTCACAAGAATTACATATGTGAAGTATGAAAGCGCTACCACCAACCGTTCAAAAGTTATGGCCAAGGTTAAAGTTTTGCAAAAGTAGGTCAAACTCCAAGGTCAAGGTCAAAGGGTCAAAGTTGTTGGTATCCAAAGAAAGGTCTTGTCACAAGGTATACACATGTAAAATAGGAAAGCCCTTGCTTCAACGGTTCAAAAGTTATGGCTAAGGTTAAAGTTTTTTCAAAAGTAGGTCAAACTCCAAGGTCAAGGTCAAAGGGTCAATGTTGCTGGTATCTGAAGAAAGGTCTTGTCACAAGAAATACATCTGTGAAGTTTGAAAGCCGTAGCACCAACTGTTCAAAAGTTATGGCCAAGGTTAAAGTCTGAAAAAATATTGCAAAAGTGGGTCAAACTCCAAGGTCAAAAGGTCAAACTTTATGGTACCCAAGAAAGGTCTTGTCATAAAGAATACACATTTGAAAAACGAAAACCATAGTTCCAACCAATCAAAAGTTATGGGCAATGTTAAAGTTTTTGCGGACAAACAGACAGACAGACAGATAAACAGACAGACGGACGGACAGGGCAAAAACTATATGCCCCCGAATCTTCGATTACAGGGGCATAAAAAGGTCCAAAAACGACTGAATCAATCCAAGATTTGAACGAATTAAATTAAAATGTTATTATCTTTATTGAAATTGATACAAACATGTACAGAATAAACTTAAAGATTATAAAACATTACGTTACAAAGAAGCAACTCAGGATTCCTTACCTTTTTCTTCAGATGATGGCACAAGATTTGCTGTGTGATTCTTTTTTGGAGAAGATTAACAGTTTACTATGATCAATCTCAAATTCGAACAAATATAGTAATTAATCCAAATCTTCTTCCATAAATAAACGTACGTTAACGATAAATACATATTTACTTTACATCAATTTATTCATTGCAGAAAGGTCGATGAACAACAATTACGACATACATAATAAAGACAAAGTAAAAAAAAATTACCATTAGTGTTATACGTTGCTGGAGTGAACGCGCATGTGCCGGTTAAGGTTTCCGGATTGTGAAAACCTCAACAGACACAATTTGCACTGATAAGGTTTCTCACCAGAATGAATTCTCAAATGTTTCGTTAACGTTGAACTGTCCGAGAAAGCCTTTTTGCATAACCTGCATCTGTAAGGACGTTCACCACTGTGAGTGCGCATGTGCGTTGTGACGGAAGAACTCTGTGAGAATCTTCGATCACACATAGGACAGTGAAAGGGTTTTTCACCACTGTGTGTCCGCGAGTGAGCTGTAAGATTTGCTGCTTGAGAAAATGATTTACTACAAGTTGAACATTTATAAGGTTTTTCCCCAGAATGTGTCCTAAGATGGGTCTTTAATGTACTTGGTCGAGCATAAGTCTTGCCACATATTCGACACAAGTTAACTTTCGAGGATTCACATTGTATGTTACCATGACGATTTCCAAGAAATTTAGCCCGTTTCCATTGCGAAACGGCACATAGGCGCGCTGCCTCCTTATAATTGTCTGTTGGTCTATAAATAAAATTCCTTGTTTCCGGTGAAGGGAATGGTCTCATTTCATGTGAGATAGAATAATGGTTGGGATACTGATTAGCAGACGGTGTGTTGTACTGAGGCGACACTGGCGGGAGACCGTACTGGTTGTATTGGTAAGGAGGCGGGGGTGTGGTGGGTCGGGGCGGGGCCGGATTACTTGACCACTGCTGGACCGAGTACTGGTTATTGCCCATATTATGAGGAACACCCACATTCATACTCATACTCACGTTCACACTCATGGAGGGAAACATATTGTTTTGTTGTGAATCATTTCCAGGATATTGTTGTACGGTAAATTGACCAGAATTTTGCGGAGGGTAAACTCCTGTATGATGAAATGGACCATTATGATACGTCACAGTTGACTGACTTGGACAGTTTCCATTTCCATGTCCCAGATGCATTGTGGGAGATATTGGCGATATCTGTCCGCTGTATCCCGGTCTGACCACTGCATTTTTTAGCGACAAAAGAGCATCTGCTATATCTTGAGACTTTTCTTTGAAAACAGAAAATTCCCTATAATACAAAAGATAATTAATTGCCCATGTCTGAACAAGAAAGTTAAATTGAAAGTTTTGCATTTCTCAATTATTTATAATTAAGGAATTTAAACATTAATAAAATCATACTATTAGGATACTGTGTTCTTATTTCTTCATTACTCATGATAATCTTTAAAATGAGACTTTTTATCAAAACGTGCTTTTTAAAAAAATTATTTTCGTTACCTTATTATCCAATTTTCATAGATCATTTATCAGTTAGAATTAGTGTCGTTAATTTTTTTTAAAAATAAGTTTTCAAACCTGCACACTGAGTATATTAACTGTATTACATCTGTGTTTCGGAGTAGCAGTAAAACATGCATATTGCATGTTATATTCAATTTTACTGTATCTTTTTTGTGATATTCCTAATTCTATGAAATCAAATAATCCAATTGAAATCAAGAATTGTCGCTAGATTTTGTATACGACTATTGGAAATTGTTAGCGTCGATCAGAGTTTAACTTTTTCATTACTTCAAAGCATGGGTTGTTCTATATCTTAGATTTTAAATATATGTACTAATTTTATTTCAGCTTTATTTCTAAAATGATGTTCAAAGATTTATCTCCAATGTACAAATTACTAGTTTAAAGTTTTTAGCTAAGTCCATTCCGAAGTAACTGCAAGCCCTATCAGACCAAAATTGCATAAATGTTACATCTAGGGATGCACACTACTAGTATAGATTATTGGTTTAGTGTGGGACTTTGTCTTATTTAAAGACAACATTCGTTGAGGTATTTGGAACATAGAATTCAGTTAAGTGTCATGCATATGCAAGAAAATAAAATAATAATTTATTTTAATTGCATTTTTCAAAATGGGAAAACACTCATATTTAAAGACAACATTCGTTGAGATATTTGGAACATAGAATTCAGTTAAGTGTCATGCATATGCAAGCAAATAAAACAATAATTTTATTTTAATTGCATTTTTTAAAATGGGAAAAGAAACATTTGCATCATGCTTTTATAAGAAACTTTATAAAAATTCAGTTATTTTTCCATTTACTAATCATTAACTTTGGCTGTACATAACTCATTAATAAATCAACCTACCAGTGGTAACATAAAATTGGTTTAAAACAAAATATGCAGACGTGCTCTATGAAATATTTTGGATTTTATGTCCATTTAGTACGAAAGTTCTTGGCAAGTAAAATGAAGCTGTTCAATTTGATAATCATATGCTTCAAAGTTAAGAAACCGGAGAAAAAAAAATTAGTTGTTATAGTTAGTTTTATTATGAAAATTTTATAACTTTGATGCCTTTGTCTTCAATGATGATTAATTTAATTATGGAAATTCGGGGGAATATGTAATTCTTTGATGTTCATATTTTCATAATAAATGTATAAATAAAGAAAATTGATTTAAACAGTAAAATGCTCTCTTTGGTTGTTAGTATGGGAATTTATGTTGCAGTTGTTGCAGAAAAAATACACAACCCGTGTAAGCGGATTACGCATTTTTTTTTCCAGCAATAGTTACAGCGTTTATTCCCATACTTACAAAGAAAGAAAGACATTTAAATGTTTACACTGCAGTATTAATATCTGTATCAGTAATCATAAAGTAGGATTAAGTATGTTAAATATTGTATTCTTGATATGTACATATACATCATAAGTTTCATTGATGGAAGTGCCACTGCTCAAGAAATCTACATTTTTTGTATACAAGTGACTTGCTCAGCGGCGTTAAAGTACTGATAAACGACAGTGGTTTCATATGAAATAAGAAAATATTCAGTGGATGTAAATATTAAGTAAGGAGCATCTAAACTTCAATTCCTTTATATTGGTATGCATGATCATTTGCACGGTTAATAGGGTTGATACATTACAATGAGTTTAAAAACAATTATTTAAGTTTCAAACAGTACATCTCTAATCAGAAAATTTCTACGATACATACCCATGTATAGACAAAATCACTTTTAATGCACCCTGTGAGCTATTAATGTAGTTTATCTTCATAGTCATTTTGTATATATTGATAGAACGTTTACCATACACTAAACTTAAAATTCAAAAGCTATATGATCAAGTACTTGCACTCTTGAATTTGTAAATTTTATACGTTGATTCTTTGGACACAAGTGTCTATTTTGTTTTGTTCTCAGTGACATCTTAGTGTTGACATATTTCTTTAAGGCTGGGTTTATGTGTGATCAGAGGGAAATTTAAGCCAGTATTGTACAGGTTCATAGTGTACTTGTCACCTGATCGTTAGGATTAAAGACCAGCTTCTGGGTGAACAAACAGTATCCCTCAGATACTAATGAGAGAGTATGGTGTCAGGGGGCACTTGTTCCAATGTGGAAGACAAACATAGCATGGGTTTCTGAAGTCGAGTTTCTCTTAAGTTATTATGTTTAAACGGATTAAATATTTGATAAAAAAACAATTGAGTAATTCTGAGATAATATTTTTAAATTTAACATTTTATACGTAATTCTTTCTTCTTGTTTTAAGTTTACTTAATCTCATTGTTAAAAAGGGCGGAAAAACCGAAGGTATATTATACATAAACGTGCAAGAAGTGTTTAGATTTCTTCATTCTAGGCAATTATTTGAAAGAGTATTTTTCCTTTACCATTTTTTAAGAAAAATAGGTAGGTAGATCAATAGAGACAGTCACATTATATAGTAAGGTATAATGACTGTTTAACTGTTTTACGCTGTGTTCATTCTGTTTTGATTGCCTAATCAATATAAAATTCACTCTGGAAATAATTTCCTTTTGAACTATTTTGTAGTTTTTGAGAGACTTATAAGGTTTTGCCCTGCAATCAATTTCAGTCCATACTTTCGAAATTCAAATATGATTTAATTCGCTTTCAGACTCACTTTATTGTGGGTGTACATGGAGGAAACGAGAACACACTAGGCATTTGCTCAAACTCGATGGTTGTCATGGGATATGTGTTGATATTAACACCAAGCGGTGACCTTGAAAGGTCAGACTGTTTGTCATCCGTCCCACAGTAGAATTCATCGTAGGAGGATCCAGCGGGAGTGTAGCTGTCGATCTCTGTATACATTGTCTAATTTAAGAATTAAAAAAAAATATTAATTAAACTTTAGCTCACAAAAGTTAGATAAGTTACCATCGTTAATTAACCATGATAAATTCATGCTAACTTAAGTTCATTTTAGCACAACTCTAATATTTGTCATTTTCACATCAATTTTTTAAAAAATTTTGTTTGTTAAAAAAATGTCTTGCATGTTAACAAAGTCTGTAGCAAATGAACTTGCATATATGTGCATCTGTAAAATGTATTCCGTTTCATTTGGAACAGATTTATGTCTGCATGTACATTTTGGCAGATGATTTCAATTTAAAAGTTGAAATCCAAAATTGACTCGTTTATTTCTCTCAGTTTTCCATTATCTATGTACATGTATCTAAACTTAAAAGCAAAACTGCAAAATACCTTAATACCTTTGTTTTCCTTTTTTATGTGGGATATTTTTTTCCTTATGCAAATTAAGATTTTCTACAGATTAAGAAAAGATTCATGATAATTATGCAAACATGCAAAATAAGTATGTCAATTTGCCAGACAGTCATGTTGTCATGTGTTAATATTAAACTTTTTATATTGGTAAGACATATTGACAAGCTTGACTTTGTTGTCATGCAAAATAGTAAACATCTAAATAATCTAGAATTTCAATCATTTGGAAGATATTGGAAACACATAGCAACTTTTGTGAAAAAAAATTAAAGTTTGTAAAATTTGATTTGAACTCTAAAAAGTTAAAATATGTTAACAAGCAATTAATAAGATTATATCTATCAAAATCAAGTTTCAGTGATCTATTAAATTTATTGATTATTAGATAATATCTAAAGTATATGAATATAATTTATGTAAGTACTATAAAAGCAAAGCATAAAGTACATAATATAGGGAGTGTAAATATACTTTTTTTAAAGAATCTATGGGAAAAATGTAAACTTCGGTTTCTTGTGTTGAATTTCTACACAATGATTCCAAATATTTTTTTTTTTTTCAGAGTGAATTACTTTTATATTTTAATTATAGGGAAATACAAAATATACAGAAAAGAGGGGGTATTGTCCAAGCGTTATGTTAAAATAGTTATGTTTTTTTTAAATTTAAAATATGACATTGGAAAAATTATTTAAAGCATTTTTTAAATGTGAATATATTTTTAAAAAATGTACTAACCATTAAAAAAAAAACAACAAAAAACAAAAAACAAAAAACCAAGATATGATTACGGTTAAGAGTCATTTAACTTTGATATAAGCTTATCAAATTTTAAGGAATAGGAAAAAAACAACAACTGATTTTTACCTTGAATTTTCTAAAATATCATGACAAAAAAGTTTAAAACATACCTTTTTGTGATATGGTATTTCCTTTCACAGAAGCAATTCCAAACCTCCGGTCATGCACTTTATAGTTATTTGGGAGTATCTCGGTTTTCATTATGTTAATTTATTAACATCCAATAACTATTTTCTCCGACTTCTCTCAAACTGGCGGTACAGTGATGCCGAGGAAATGGAATACGGGACACAATATAATATACTACATTTTTTTTAAAATAATTTAAATTTATTCAAAATTTATTTGGTTCAAATAATAAAAATGTTAGAATGTTAAATCAAACGATATTTTATGCAACATTTAGCTAATTTGAGGGATTTTTTGATGTAAGCTTCTTTCTTTATGTCTAAATATTACTTTGACTATATTTTGATGCTTCACAGCTCTTGATAAAACATATGAAAAAAAATCATCAAATTATATATAAATACATATTTTAGATTGAATTAAACAGCATTGGAAGCATTAGAAGATTACCCCTAAGAATGCGTTTATAGATTTTCTTTATGGTGCTTTTCCCGATAAAAAAGATATTATTATAAATTTTCCTGGTTTATTTAAAACATGTAGTACTATTAAACATTTCTCTTAATGTGTAGTATACTCGCCAGGATTATTTTTTTTTTCTGATTTATAAATCTTTTATTTAGGAGAAACATTTCTTTCTGAATCGTTCATTGTTGTGATCTTGAATTCCTCATGTTTTGCATAAAATATAATATTTGAATTATATTTAGTATATTCTATGTAACTTCGGTTATTTAATTGGGTAAAAATAAAACATGTTCATTGTTGTTTAGAATTATTCCAATACTTTAAGATACACCCAGTTACTATGATAGTGATGCCAATTAAAGTTTTAAGTGCGCGGTGTACTGCACGTGCTTCTGCTTAAGATAGGAGTATGGATGGCGAGCGCACGTGACATCAAGTAATGGTGGAAGGACTCTGAAATTGGCCACTCATTGGATCCATTCAAAAAATTCTATTTCAAGATATTAAAAGAAAGTAAAAAATAATTTATTATCATCCGAATTATAAAGATTTATGTATTTTTGAAAACATGTTATTTTGTTCTTGTTTTGGCTAATGAGGTATTTTCCCGAACAAATACAATGTTTTCCTGTCTTTTTTTCTGATGCTCCTCATTCATGATCATGATTCGTTATTCGCGAGTTCAGTTGAATTTTTAATTCAAAGTATGTTATGACAGACTGTTATGATATTTTGAATTTTTCATTTTCAAATTTCATAAACGTTTTTGTCGATTTTGTAACTGCATTTAAATCTGACTTATGTAGGAAGCGTGTTTTAAAAAGAAAATGTTAAAATGAAAACAGGAACAAAGAAATAATTAGGAAAAATATATGCTGTCAAGAAAAAAAGAAAATTAGTTGTCATTGAAAGAATTTTGCTATCTACTAATCGGAGAAACTCGAGGACACACGATAGCCAGCGGCCAGCCGAAATCTGCCAGTATAATGTTTCTGCAGATCAGAAAGAACCACAAGTGACCATGGCCAGAGGAGAGGTGGGAAACCTCGCGCTCATGGGACTTCTCGGAAGTCGAGGTCAGGAGGAAATCAAAAAGAGTTCGTTTGTAGGAATGACCACACGGATGTCAGGGTGTTATTAGAGAAGACACACCGTGTGATTACTGGTGTCGATTCCTGTTTTTACCAAACAAAACAAAGAAGAAAAAGGATATCTTAGGTGGTACGTTTTATTTCTTTTCTACGTCTTTGCTCTCCTGTAAAATTTTCTAGAGGCTGTCGTTTGTGACCACGATTTTTGGAAAACTTCAAGTATCGGGGTCAAATGTTGATCTTGTTCTATCTTGTTCGTAAGAGTCCTCAGTTACTCGCCTGTTTTATTTTTAGATGCAATCAAGTACTTGATACTGAATGCGGGTAACTTCGTTTTGTTTTTAAGAGTTTCGAATTTGTTTCCGAACGGAAGTGGTGCAGTTGTCGTCTGATCCTTTGTAAGAAAAGCAGGAAGTCCGAGATTGTTTTGAGAATCACTGAATTCGTGTCGTCCTTGCTCTGAAATTGTCAACGACTAATAAACTCGACGGAAGGTCAAATTATCTCACTGTTTTCTTAACAAATTAAAAGAATCATGCCATTATTCGATACTCGAAACGTTCACCTCTGCTAATCAAAATTTCAAAATTATGAAGTTTGATGGAACACCTACCGAGCCGAAGAATTGTGTCGGTACAAAAAATAATAGTAAGAGGGGATGTTTAAGTAACTCGGTACCAGAAACGAACGTGTGCGCGGGTCAGTCAAAATCGTAAGAAAACGGCGGACAGCTCCGTTAAAAAAATACTGCACACCTTCCGTGATAGGGTTTTATATGATCGTTAGCGAGATTTTATGGTGGAGATAATTATTCTGAGCCCGATGTCATTCTGAACTCCCAATAAAGGCTTCACTTTTGTTGCTTGGAGCGTGCAGAATTGAAATCAATCCTGTATGTGACCGCCCAATTTGTTAACTTAATTTTCTATCTATCGATTGTAATCTTAAATATTTCAAGTTAAAATAATTTAAGATGTTGATATTGTAAGCTGTAGAAATGAATTAATCATTTTAAATCATTTTTTTCAGTCAGACAGTATGTTTCTTTATAAAAGAACCTTAAGTTTCAAACTTAGAATTTGAGATATTTATTGGCTTGACTTATACATTGCATTAAAATGTCCTCCATTTTTGTCAAGATTTATTGGATTTCTATCAATGGATGTATTTCAGTCGATGTAACGAAAGAGACCAGTATGAACATTGTTGCTGTTTTGAGAAATGCAAAGGAAAAAGAAAAGAATTTAAATTTAATAAAATGAAAATAATTTGTGTTTTTTTCCTTTGTACAAAATCTGTACAGAAAAGAGAAATTTGTGGTAAATGGTAATCAAGACTAACCATTTGAAATACGCTTGATCTTGTGTAATACATGTACATTGTCCCTATATATCACACATCCTGAAGTCTTTCATTTCTCACTTGCACTATCGTAGCCATTCTTTATAATTTTGCACCAGTACATGCAAATAAAGATAGGGAAACATACATTTGTCTTCCACTTTTACGTCATACATGTGTCCACTGACCATTGAATTTGTTTCTTTGTGTTTTGCCTCTGTAACTATACAGATAGACTAGTATTAGTATTAACAAAATCTATTTGTTCGTGATTTGAGAGCTGAATTATTTTAGTCAAAGTATCAGACGTTTATTGAAAGAGATTGCATAACATTAGTATTGTTGTTTTTTTTTGTTAAAAACCAAAATCTATCACTACACAGAATCAGTTGCCACACAGTCACTGTTTGCATTAATTTTCTTTCACTGAATATTGATTTGTAAAATTTGATTGTATTCTTGTTAGTTTTCTTCATTGTAAAAATTGATTAAAAGTATGTCTGTTTTAAAAAGGTTCCTCATCGTTTGAAACTTGAATAAGTGGTGCATGATATATAAGTAAAATTGTGTAAAAATGTGCATAATGACTTTCTGCCGAACTCGGTTTTAAATTTAACAATAATTTATTTAATCTATCAATTTTTTTTTATGTCCAATAAACAACATGAGTGACAAAGTTGGTAAATGATAAAAAAAAAGTTGTAACACAAATAAGGAAATATACATGAATATGAAACATTCTTTATAAAA